GAGAGAGAGAGAGAGAGAGAGAGAGAGAGCGCGCGCGCGAGAGGGAGATTGATATTGGGGCATACAGGCTAGTGTAATTTCATGACTGTCTTAGAACGTGGCCATTTTTGGAAACTGTGGTAAACTACACACAACATAAATTACAACGTAAAACTTACCATCTTAACCATTCTTAAGTGTACAGTTGAGTGATATTAAGGACGTTCACGCTACTGTGTAGCGATCACCACCATGTATCTCCAGAGCCTTTCTCATCTTGCAGAACTGAAACGCCACTTGTTTACCAAGGACTTCTGTTCCTTGCTCCTTCTCCAGCCCCTGGCAGCCATCACCCTACTTTCTGTCCCTCTAGATTTGGCCACGCTAGGTACCTCCTGTAAGTGGACTCATACGGTATTTGTCTTTTTGTGCCTGGCTTATATCACTTAACCTGATGGCCTGAAGTTATATCACTTAGCCTGATGGCCTGACGATTCCTTCATGCACCGCGCAGGCCAGAATTCCCCTCCTTCTTGTGGCTGAATACGGTTCCATCGTATATATGCACCACCTCTTGTGTTCCCACTCGTGTGTTGATGGATGCTTTGGTTGCTTCCACCTTTTGACTATTGTGAATAACACTAAACATTCTATTTTAAGAAAAGGTTAAGGCACGGTCCTTTATTTGAAGAATTAAAAGGCGGTACCCGTTAATCAGGTTGAATACACGAGAACAGAAATGTTTATATTTATACCCAGCTTTAGAAATGGAAGCCAGATCTAATTACTCGAAGTTTCCAGAATACTTAACTTTCTTTTTTCCCTTTCAACTTTAGATTTTGGTCCTAAAAACAGATTCTCAGGATCTTGTTGCTTCCTTCAGAGTAACAACTGGAACAAGCAATACCACAGCTATTAAGTCAATAGAGTTTGCCCGGAAGGGGAGGTGAGACCTTGTCTTTTTAGGGACAGTTTTAAAAGTGAGTAGAATGCAAACATACATTGAGATTCACAGTTTTTGTGTATATTATGCGTACATTTTTAAGAAAGTTTACTTAAAAAGTAATCAAACTGTCAGTATCTGGTTCTTAAGTCCATAAAATGTTCCGCATTGAACCAGCAGTCACTTCTTCTTTCTCTGGAGGTTGTCGGGCAGTCCTTTTACAGAAAAGATATCTGGGTGGTATGTGCTTAGACCTACAGTGTCTGGCACATGGTAAGCACTGGGCAAAGTCAGCTCTTATAATCAGAATTGATGTCACAGAATTCACATAGTAATTGAACATACATTCTATTTACATAAAGTCTGTTTACCTTTTTAATGTCAGGTGTTTTTCTGGTAAGTTTGGTTACCCAGCTAGAAGTAGGTAGGTCACAGAAACGACAAGAATCAGGTTGTCAGTGTCAGGAAGAGAGGTGACAGTCCTCCTGTTTTGTGTAGGACCATTCGTGTGTACTTTGAGGACATTGATGTTCAGTATTCTCTTGAATTAAGAAAAGGTTGGTGAAATCTGTAAGAAGGTAATGAGGTAACTTCTATGTTAGATTTCCAGCATCACTATAGTAAAAATTTGAACATTTTAAGATGACAGATTTAGTTTATTAACTCATTAGGAAGAATACGTTATGTACAAAACAGGCCAGGAAAATGAAGTATTCACATACATCTATCAGTTGGTGAATTCAGCAAGCTGGTTTCAGTTTAGAGGTCTTGGATTTCAGTCAAACACTGAAGATTAGTTGGTGCATATAGGGTTCAGGGATACACGCAGAGTATACAACATATTTTCACTTCAAATTATATTTTGGTTTGGAAGGTGATAGGTAAATACATAAGTACTCTAGCCTATCACTGAGTCTCTTCTCAGTTTATTAGTTGTCTTATGGTACTGTTCTAAGTAACGGGTAGTAACGGAAAATGTTAACAGAAGCAGATTTATGACCTTCGGTGTTGATATTTTTATCCTTTCTCTAGTTGCTTTTTAATTAACACAGCAGATCGGATAATCCGGGTTTATGATGGCAGAGAAATCTTAACTTGCGGAAGAGATGGAGAGCCCGAACCTATGCAGAAATTACAGGACTTGGTAAATAGGTACGTCTCACAACCTGGGAGACTATGGGACAGTTCATGACCTGGGCTCAGCTTCTGGTTCTCCTTGGGTACTTTCTTTGTCCCTCAGAACCCCGTGGAAGAAATGTTGTTTCTCTGGGGATGGAGAATACATAGTGGCCGGTTCAGCCCGGCAGCACGCCTTGTACATCTGGGAGAAGAGCATTGGCAACCTGGTGAAGATTCTCCATGGCACGAGAGGAGAGCTCCTCTTGGACGTAGCTGTGAGTAAAAGGAGAGGTTGCTGTCGTCACTGACGTGCAACACATCATCTCGGATCCATTCTTAGAGCCGATTTTTCTTTCCTTCCTTAAATTTAGTGGCATCCTGTTCGACCCATCATAGCATCCATTTCAAGTGGAGTGGTATCTATCTGGGCACAAAATCAAGTAGTAAGTCTTTTTCTGGTTTAATTGCTTTGAAGCTAGACCCCCTTTCTTTATATCCAAGAACCTTACAGTTAGTAAGCTAAAAATGACCTGTTCAATTTCTTTTGCATGTGCTTCTTGTAACTTAATTAAATAGAGATGCAGTTTTGCTTTATTTTGGTGGGAGAGATTCAGCCCAAAGCTGATTTACTAGCTCTGTTTTCAGGGAGAAAGCCTGTTGTATTTTTCTGTTACTCACCTGAGAGAGAGTTCTCTTTTGCTCTTCTTACTTTCAGCTCAGTTAGTTTCTGTTTTACTTCCCGGTTTTATTTTGAATACCTTTACTTTGTAATTTGCATACCCCTAAGAAAATGTTAACGTTTTACCTGATCATTTCATCCTAAGAAGGTTAAAGATGACGGTTCTTATGGAAGAACTCTGGTTAATAAGAGAATGTTTAAGGTCGAAATACCTTAAGATAATAAAACCTTACAGATACCTGATTTTTATTATCTGCCAGGTTTGATCTCCGAGTTCTGCGTCTCTTACATCCTCCGATCTTTCACTTATATCAGTAACGTGTAGCTCATAGACTGCTGCTGTCTCATGTGGTTAAGTAGTGTATTTTGTCTGTGGCGTAGGAAAATTGGAGTGCATTTGCCCCAGACTTCAAGGAGTTGGATGAAAATGTAGAATATGAGGAAAGGGAATCAGAGTTTGATATTGAAGATGAAGATAAGAGTGAGCCTGAGCAGACGGGTAAGATTTCTTAACTGCAGTCTCTTTTTCTTTAAGCTCACACAGTTTTTTGTTTTTTGTTTTTTAATTTTTTTTTAATGTTTTTATTTATTTTTGAGACAGAGAGAGACAGAGCATGAGCAGGGGAGGGGCAGAGAGAGAGGGAGACACAGAATCCAAAGCAGGTTCCAGGCTCTGAGCTGTCAGCACAGAGCCCGACGCAGGGCTTGAACTCACGGACTGTGAGATCATGACCTGAGCCGAAGTCGGATGCCCAACCGACTGAGCCACCCAGGCGCCCCAAGCTCACACAGTTTTGATGGTGTTTCAAGAGTCTTTCGGTGGTAGGCACTGACAGAGGGCTTCCATGGGCATTTTTCATTTTTCCTAGGGTTCCACAGCACTCCTACCATTTCTGTGTGTGTTTCCTGATTAATTGCACATGGTTAAATGAGGATTTACATGCGGCACCTAGCAGTGCTCGGCATGGGGGTGGAAATTCAGCATATATTTGTTGAATGATTAAGTATACTGAACTATTTGGTTTTTTCTTTGTTTCTCTGGAATTTTAGTGTATGGATATCATTAGGCTGCAAGTAAAAAGCAGTTTTATACCTTCTTCTCATACCTCCACTGTGTTTTTCTCCTGCAGGGGCTGATGCTGCAGAGGATGAGGAAGTGGATGTCACCAGTGTGGACCCTATTGCTGCCTTCTGTAGCAGGTGAGCCACCTCTGCATGTGAGACCTCAGGGTGCTGCTGCTCCTGCTCCCCCTCCTCCTGGCTGTTCTGTCAGCCTTCATTCATTAGTTCAAAATGATAATGTCTTTGGTGTACAAGAAATCCCATCCCTGTTCCCCTGATAGAGAATCTTAAGAAAAACTGAAATAATTCATTTATGCTGTTTATTTTTACGACTGATTTTATTATCGGTATAGTCAGATTTCCCTTAACTCATCTTGGCTTTCTTAAAGTTCTAGATCCATACCCGTTGCTTATGGTTAATATAGGTGATTCTGCCCTAGAGGAAGGGTTCATGGTTTAAGCAACTGTCTCCTCTTTTTTCCAATCCCTTGGCTGATCCTGTTCCAAATAGTGATGAAGAGCTGGAAGATTCAAAGGCTCTATTATATTTACCCATTGCCCCTGAGGTAGAAGATCCGGAAGAAAATCCTTATGGCCCCCCACCGGATGCGGTCCAAACCTCCCTGATGGATGAAGGGGCTAGTTCAGAGAAGAAGAGGCAGTCTTCAGCAGATGGGTCCCAGCCACCTAAGAAGAAACCCAAAACAACCAATATAGAACTTCAAGGAGTACCCAATGATGGTAAGAGCTGCGTCTTGCCCCTGTTGCCGAACAGACATCACTGTTTCCTCTCCAGCGCAGTCTGGTCATTTCCTATTTGAGGGATTTTACCTTGAAGGAAATTTCCCATGAGTCTTTCTCTTTTCTTTCCTTTCTTTTTCTTTTTAATCGCGCCTTCCAGCTTGGTAATGATTTCATCTTCTTTTGCTTCTCTTTTAAATCAGAGAAATTATGCCTTCTAGTACTTGGCCTAAGTGACAGCTTTCCATCTCCTGACATCTGGCTCAGAGTGCTTCATTACACCATTCTTCTTTTTCCCTGTGGAGTGGTGTCACTAGGTGGTAAAGTACTAGTCAGGCCTGGATAATCTTTGCATTCTTCCTGCCTACCTTTGCAGTCGGACTCCGGAAGCCTTTATCATCGCCTCTTGGGATAGGACGGGGGATAGGTTGGACGGTGCGTGCGTGTGTTTACTCCCGAATGCCATCCGTTCTCTTCTAGCTAAGCACACACGAGTGACTTGTGCAGCCGTGCGTCTCCCTAGGGTGGAGTATGCCTGCTTGCTCCAGGCAGTGTGGTGTTTGTTGATCACTGCTGAGTTGTGCATCAACTCTGCAAGTTGTTTCACTGTTTCTGCTTTACAAAGGAGAAACTTTAGGCTTTGAGAGGTCAAGGGGCTTGCCCAAGGTCTCGGGCAGTGGCGTAGTCAGTATCGTTGCCCTGGTCTGTCTGGTTCCAAAGTCCAATTCCCCTTCTGCTCCCACATGCCGGTGTGCCCGTGTGCATCCCTGGCCTGGCGCATGCGATATGTCGTCAGTGTGTTTTTCAGCTACCTTGCTGGTGTAGAGCTGCCATGGGATGAACCATACAGGCCATCTGTGCTCTTTGGTCAGGCAACTATTTCCCATTTAGCGGCCACACTCTTCTGTAGTTTTAGAATCAGTGAGAGCAAACTTTCCTCCTTGTATTAATGGATCTGGGACCCGAGAGCAACACTCTTTGCTCCCGGGTAGTCACAGCGTGCGGCGCGTGTCTGGTTGGGGTGCTGGGATGGGCGGCGTGTGGATCCCTTTCCGTGCCTCTCTGTCCTTTTACAGAAGTCCATCCACTACTGGGTGTGAAGGGGGATGGCAAATCCAAGAAGAAGCAAGCAGGCCGGCCTAAAGGATCAAAAGGTAAAGAGAAAGATTCTCCATTTAAACCGAAACTCTACAAAGGGGACAGAGGTTTACCTCTGGAAGGATCAGCGAAGGGTAAAGTGCAGGCGGAGCTCAGCCAGCCGTTGACAGGTAAGGACACACTGGGAGCGCTGTCTGGCTTGCTTCGTGGCCTTGCTTTGTACAGCCCCTGACTCCGTTTAACTGCAGCGTTCTTTCCCTCCTTCTCTCCTTTTCCCAGTGGCAGACATTCTCTGAGTTTCAGGCTGCTGCCAAGGGCAGGCAAAACCAGATTTGGCTTAATTCAGTGGCTCTTAACCTTGGGTCTGTAAATAGGTTTCAGGGGATCTATATTTCCCTGATATTATATGCAAAACATCGTGTGAATATTTTTGTGGGAAAGATGCCCATAGCTTTCATCAGATTCCTGTAGGAATCCATGAGCCCCGAAAGGGTAAGAACCCCTGGTTTAATTCATTTCTTTGCCTGTGTTTGCTTCCAGGTTTTTGTTTTGTTTTGCCTGAAATGAAAGAGCCAGACAGATAACCAGAAGTGTATAAAGCTTGCTTTATGCAGCGCTAGCTGTTTGTAGCGTTTTGTCTTTCTTTAAACTGTTCACATCCCAGAGGTGGGGGTTCTCTCTCTCTCCGTAGTCCAGAAGCAGTGACAAAGCTGTCTGTCAGTAGTCCCGTCACGTTGAGGAAGAAGGTGAGATGGTTTTCCAAATAGGATGAGATTGCCACAAAGACCGCAACCATATCTGTGTAGCTTCTTAATTCCTAAGCCTTTGAAACTTACTGAGTTTTCTCACTTTGCTTGAGGGAGGAAATTTTGGGGGGGATGGAGAACAATCTTAATTTCCTGTCAAATACTTGCGAATGCAGGCCAAATGGTCTCTTGTTTGGAAAATAGTAATCAAATTAGAGTCCATTTCTATTCAGACATGACTGGGTTTTGGAAAACGTATGTATGAGCATCGCCTTAGTGCGGGCAGTGCTCTAGATTCCCTGTGGCTAGGTCGGGAGACTCAGAGGCAGGGCTGATAAACTGTCAGTGGTTGTATTCAGATTTTATTCCTCAGGCTTAAAAATTTTTTTTTAAAAATTGTTTTTTAACGTTTATTCATTTTTTGATAGACAGAGACAGAGGGTGAGTGGGGGAGAGGCAGAGGGAGAGGGAGACACAGAATCTGAAGCGGGTTTCAGGCTCCGAGCTGTCAGCACAGAGCCAGACGCGGGGCTCGAACTCACAAACCGCGAGATCATACCTGAGCCGAAGTCAGCCGCTTAACTGTGGTGCGTCAGGCACCCGCCCCATCCTCTGGCTTTAAAATTTTTTTTTTTTTTTTAATTTTTTTTTATTTTCAACGATTATTTATTTTTGGGACAGAGAGAGACTGAGCATGAACGGGGGAGGGGCAGAGAGAGAGAGGGAGACACAGAATCGGAAACAGGCTCCAGGCTCTGAGCCATCAGCCCAGAGCCCGACGCGGGGCTCGAACTCCCGGACCGCGAGATCGTGACCTGGCTGAAGTCGGACGCTTAACCGACTGCGCCACCCAGGCGCCCCTCTGGCTTTAAAATTTTAACTCCAGCATGTGACCCCAGCTGTGCTGGCGTGACACGCTACTACAACGTGGAACAGAGTTCCTTGTTTGAGGTACACCTTCAGTCAGTTGATCGTGATGAACATGAGTTCTCTTCCGTAGAGAAGCTGAAGCAGACTCAATTACTCACTTTGAGTATTCCGCCTCACGCGCTAGATTTAGATGTTCCGTTTTCACAGCCAACGCGTGGCACTGACAGCAGCATTGTTTCCCCAACAGCACTATTTATGTTGTTCACTGGGGATCAGTTACCACCTCTACATTCAGTCCACTGAAGGCTCTCTCTGTATGTGTTTTAAAATAGCCGGGACGAGTTTCATGGCCATTGCCAACAAAGATTGCAGGCCAGTAATTGATTCATGTAAATACAAACGATCCTTCTATAGCCTAGTTCTTGTACAAGCTGTGGCCACTACAGAAAAACACGGTTTACCTTTAAATAGATTTCTCTGGCCTAACGAGCTGAAATGCTTGAGGCTGATGTAAAATGTGGCCAGACATACGGAGTTAATTGAAATACTCTAGGACATAGTCTCCTAGCTTCTTCAAAACCTGCCAGTAATTAATCATTTGCTTTTTAATAGTCAGTGTATGGCAAATAAACCACTTAAAAGTTTTTGAAAATTCACATTTCCCTTTCTATAACTCAGTGATTTCAACTTAATTATAGTTGATCTGATCACTAGCAGTTAGGTAAATATCCCTGGCCTTTCTTCAGTTGGGTTTCTGTCACAGACCCCGTGAACCACTGTTAGATTTTACAGCATAGAGTACAATAGCAGTGTTGTTTCTCAGATGTACTTGAAAAACGTCTAAACGAGAGTCAAAATCAAATGTCGAAAAGTTTGCTCAGCCATTTTTATTTCCTAAAATTCTCAAAATACTGAATACGGTTTGCAATGACATTTTCAAGTATGTGTGTAATACATGCCTCAGTAGTAGAAGTTAGTGTTTCGAAGCTCCTGGCAAGAATGGATACCATTATCTAGAGCTTATTAGAAGTTAATTCCTACTCACTGTGCTGACAAGGTTAAATAAGGTAGTGACCTCATTAAAGGCTAGAACTTGTATCTCGGAATAGCGGGGGGCTGTAAACCGGACTTTTATTTTCTACATTATTTTTAGTAGGTGCTCGAGTTGATCAGCCTTAAATAGAGGCAGCTGTTCTAACAGCTTCATCCTTAAAATTTTTTTTTTATGTTTATTTATTTTTGAGAGAGAGACAAGAGCGTGAACGGGGGAGGGGCAGAGAGAGAGGGAGACACAGAATCCGAAGCGGGCTCCAGGCTCTGAGCTGTCAGCACCGAGCCCGATGTGGGGCTCGAACTCGTGAACCTCGAGATCATGACCTGAGCCCGAGTCGGACGCTCAACTGTCTGAGCCACCCAGGTGCCCCATTACAGCTTTATCCTTTAGAAGGACTAGAGGGGACTTCCACGCCAGGGGGATGATAGGTCTTTTGACATCACACAGACAGAACAATTGCTCAGATGATGCAAACACTGCACCAGCCTCTCGTGACTGTGCAGCTCACACTTCCCCACATAAACTACACTTCCTTCCTCCCGTTTTCGCCTTTCTTCTCTGGCCCCGTTCCTTGACTTTTTCCTGAATGGAAATCTCCCAAACCGCAATGGCCAGATGAAACCAGAGAATGCTGAGGAGCAGGATTTAGAAAACCTCAAAGGCGGCCATTGTGGTTTGCTCCCAAGACTTCCTCAGAAGGCTGCACCCAAATTCACGGACTGGCTGCGGTGTGGTTTGGGTCTTTATGGAGGCTGCGCATCTCGGGGAGAATGGGGACAACTCCATTAGGCCTCTTGAGTTTCAGGACAGCCTGTTGGATCTTTTGTGTGGGATTCTGAGGTAAAACCTCTTTGGCATTCGAGTTTTGTGTTCTTCCGCGCCTTAGAGATGTTCCGTAAAAAGCGATGTGCGGTCATTGTAGATTTTCAGGAGATACTAAGATACGAAACCTGATCCAGATGCCTGAGGTTGAAGCATCTTCAAAAATCAATTCAGTGGGAGGATTGTATATGCAGAGCCAAGCTTTGCGGATCTCCCCTCTCCCCCAGTGCCCTACTTTTGCACCAGAGCCAAATTGTTTGAAAGGATTACAGGTGCAGGCTGTGTTGCTGCTCAAGGTAGATAAATGGCCACTGTTTGTTAAAATGTGCAGTTGACCAGTTACTGATGAAGCTATTCGATAAGCCCTAACTGGTCCTGATAAAGCTGATAGCCTGTTGTGTGTTGCAACAGGAGATTATGCATTTTGAGGGAAGATTAGAAGACACATAGACCTGTATAGGAATGATCTGGCCATCTCGAACTTGGGCCTACAGAAAATTCTTCCCTGTCAAACAGCTCATGGGTGTTAAATAGCTTCAGCGGACCCACATCCGTGAAGACATGCCTTCCGTGATGAATGAGGACCCGTCAGCGAAGCTTACTTAGCGATGGTAGCCCTGAGTGAGCTTTGGACTTTTTGGAAAGGCCAGATCCACATCGTCGACGCCATCTCTGTGATTCCCCTAAATTACCTTATTAGATTCTCTCCAGAGTACAGCCCTCAGAACAGAAACTTGAGATTGAGCAGAACCACCAGGGTCCTTGTTGCTGTGTGACTGCTCAAAGACTGCCCAAGAACTAGGGCTTCTCGGCAGTAAACAGAATCAGTAGCCAAGTGTGACAGAGTTGTGGTACGTCGCACACATGGTCTAAAGGCCTCTTGTAATGGTGGGCATGAAGAAGTTGGTATGTACCTGGGTCTCGTGGGGGTGGCGAAGGCCAAAGCGAGCATAGGCGCTGCTTCTGGGGGCACACGGGCACCGTGTCGATTTCCCTGCGTGTGGCCACACCGCTGTCCCAGACCTCTGAGCCACCTCCTGAATCCGATTGTTTTGAATGCTTGGTAGGGGGTGAGGTTTTTTTTCCCCACTTCGTCTCTCTCTCTCTCTCTCTCTCTTTTAAGGTTTATTTACTTATTTTTGAGAGAGAGGGAGAATCCCAAGCAGGCTCGTCACTGTCAGTGCAGAGCCTGATAGGAGGCTCTATCTCCGGAACCGTGAGATCATGACATGAGCCAAAGTTAAGAGTCAGACGCTTAACCAACTGAGCCACCCAGACTCCCTATCCCACCTCTTTTCTCTCTCTTTTTTTAAATGATCAGTCTTTCAAAGGCTGATATATGAACTCCTGCTAAAATCATACAGCTACTTGGATATTCTTTCTTATTCTTTGTGATCTTATTAGCGGACTAAGGTAACGTTTGAAAGTTAATATCCAGTTTTTCTTAGACTGCCTTGGCTTTGGCTGCCACTGGGAGGTACGGTGACAGCTGTTCACCCTGAGCTCAGTTTCTGTGCATTTTCTGTTCTTGGCGATTCCTTTATGTTGCAGCAAAATAATACAGATCCTTGGGGCAGATTTTTAAATAGCCTGGAGCTCTTCTCTTGTACTGTTTCTCTATTTTATCTTGCTCATAGTATTATTGCTTACTGTGGTTTTGGGTTGTTACCTGATACTTCAACAAGCCTTTGTGTGTGGCTTTTTTTTTTTTTTTTAATTTTTTTTTAATGTTTTTATTTATTTTTGACATACAGAGCGCACGCGTGTGTGAGCAGGGGAGGGGCAGAGAGAGAGCGAGAGGGAGACACAGAAAGAGAGCGAGAGGGAGACACAGAATCTGAAGCAGGCTTCAGGCCCCGAGCTGTCAGCACAGAGCCCGACACGGGGCTCGAACTCACAGACTGCGAGATCATGACCTGAGCCGAAGTCGGACATTCAGCCGACTGAGCCACCCAGGCGCCCTGTTTTGTTGTTGTTGTTGTTGTTTTTTTTTTGGTCTGTCCACATAAATGAGGACGATCCAGAAACATTAACTGACCTCAGATAATCAGTGTAATGTACCTCATTAGTCATCTGGAGTGCCCATTATTAATACTATTGATTTATGATCAAACCAGTTTTTCCTGTCGTGATTAAGGCTTAAAATGTTAATGCTGTGTTCGTTTTTAAATGGCTAAAAGTAGATTGGTCAGGGTACCTATGGGAACAATCAGTGAAGCTGGCCTTAATGTGATAAAGGCATGGTATTGAGTCCTGCGCAGTACATTCTTCTGCTGCAAGCATTTTTTTTTTTTAAATCAATTCAAGAAGTTTTTACGTTTTATGTTGAGAGATCTGAAAAGTGCCAGATAAACTTTTTATCTTACTGAACTGTATAAAGTTTAAATTTGATTTTTAACAATGTAGCATCCAGGAGAGTTTATATCGCATAATTGCTCGTCTGTTCTGAGGCAGTTGGGGCTATATTTTTATTGCTGGTTTTCATCCGTGCTTGAACTTTTACTTTAAAAATCAGGTTAAAAGCAAAGTTTATAAATGGGTACTTTTCTTTCATAACTTGGACATTATTTTTTAACCATTTTATACCTTCAAGTGGCATGTCCTCCCCCCGCCCCCCATTCCAGATGACATCTGGGAGGATTTTCTTCACCTTGTTCTCTTCTTACACTTCCTAGTTAATATTTCACAGCAGCCCATTTAAGGATGTCCCTCAGAGGTTGAACAGCTTCTATGGAATAATGGAATAATCAGGGAAGTGTTCGTTTGATTTTACTATTCAGGATTTTATTTATTGATCAGTTGTTGGTGCATAGAAATGCCGACAGTAGGTTTCATTCACATTTCACCATATTAGGTTCTAAGGTGATGAGAATGTCAGTCAAGGAACAGGGGTGCTTGAGCAACGGTCTGTTGCTCATTGTTAACCACTTAGTGACTGATTAGTCTAATATAGGAAAGATTAAAAGGTGTAGCACCCTAGAATTTCCTTTCCTCTACTTATTGCGCTTTTTGGATTGTAAAGCATTTGCTTAACCAGGTTAGAAAACGGTTATTAGCAGCTTAGCAAATGTGTAGAACTCTGATCACTTTGCTTTTATTCCCCTTTGGGGCAGTGCTGACGAAAGTATTGGGGTGGGGGTTTGGGATTTGGATTTTTTGTTGCTTCAGTAAAAGGTAAATGCGATTCGGAATCGGTTTTCACTTAAAGGGGGAATTCTTAGCCCACGTGTGCGTGTCAGCCATCATCCAGCATCCGTCAGTGCTTATGTGCTTGTAGGCTACCGGGCGAAGTTGATGCTAAAAGAAATCTTTTTGTGTCTGATCTCTTTAGCAGGGGGAGCAATCTCAGAACTGTTATGAAGACCCTTGAAGTTCTTCGTTCTCCCCCCACTTTGCCATCACGTGGCCTCTGGACACTGTGGTCAGTCATTTGAGATTGACTTTAATTTAACACAAAGGCCTCTACCTCCGACCCAGGAGGTGGAAGGAGCGAATCGTATGTTTGAATGAAGAAGTGAATTATGGAAGAAGAGTATACGGCCCTTCCCTTCCAAGCAGAAGTCCAAATAGGCTCTCAGGAATGAGGATTCGTGAAGATATCAAGCAGGAGTTTTGACTCATTCAAGCTTCAATGCTTAGTTCTGTTGCTGGACAAAAGAGACCAGTGTTGCTCCTCTAACTGTTGTACCCAGGATCATTTTGACCTGACATTTCCTGTCTCCTATTAGCCTTTCATCCTCCATGCATGTCCTCGAGTGACTTAATCTTATCTGAAGTTTTGCAGCCGGTGTCCTAGAAAAACTTCTGTTGCATATTCTGTCTTCCATTTTTAAACTCCCTCTCTCGCCAGATACCTCCTCTATTTCCATTTTGCGTACAGAGGAGGGGCAGAAAAGAAAGTGCTTGAAAGAGTTCGTTTTCAGAAAGGGAAGAAAGATAAGAATGGCCCCCTCTTCTTAACATACCCCATTTTGCTCAAGAAGCTGGGCTGGAAGAGGGTCAAGGCTTTTCTTTGTTTTCCTGGCATTGCATGGTTTCCTCCAGTGGTGGTTCATTCTCATTAATCATGGTTTTTGAAAATAGCTAGTCTCATCCATCTGCAGCAAAGAATCATCCGTAGTTCACACTGCTTCGCCTGCACTGGCTTACGGAGAGGGGACCAGACCAAGGGGTCTCTCAGCAAGCTGCGTTTTTATTGGGGTGGGGGATCTATGCAAACGACTAAAGTCAGACCGTCCGAAATCAAAGCAGCAGTGACAACATAGTTCAAATCAAAGATCAAGGAGAAAAAAAATTTTTTTTATCATTGCCTATGGATAGCCGTCCTTCCCATCGGTCATTACGTTTCTCCCTTCTTGTATTCCTGCTCCTTCTCCCTGCCACCTGTTGTCAGTCTCTTCCTTTCTGTGAAAGGTTGCTTAGCTTTTTAAGAAAATTTTTTACTTTCTGCTTTTTGCTTTTGCTGTTCTTTGTATAAAAAGTAGCAAATTGGATGGACGCATCCATGAGGTGTTTGAAATTCTCTGTAAACCCAGAGTCCAGAGACCAGGTGTGGAGAGGGCTGGCTGGCCCGGCAGGAGGCGCTTACCCTGGGTGGCCAGCTCCGTGGTTTTCTCAAAGGAGAGTGTCAGCACTGTGCTGCTTGTGAGCTCCACCAGCCGCTGGGTGCTTCTGTAGCCGGCCAGACAAGTTGATTATCTTTTGGATTTTAAGAGAGCAATCAAAGTAGACATACATCAGGAAGAGCCTCTTTCTCCCACTCCATCTTTTAGAACCAGAACATTCAGTAGTTGAAGTAAGAGCTCCCCCTAATTCAAGTGCAAAATGTCTGTAGTTTTAGACGCCACCACTTTTTTCCCCTCAGATGTTTGTGAATTTCATTTTGTATTTCACATCAGACCGGTGGTTGAGATTGGCGAGTGGCTCTTTAGACACGTGTTTTGTTTTGTTGACCTTGTTTCCATTCCATTTCTCTGTGTGCTGTGCACCGTCACAAGCTGTGTGACAACGGAAGGCTCTGCCCCACTTCCTGGACGAAGTAACGTGGTGCCCTCTGCTCGTGCCCTGGGACGTTTATGCCGTGTCCACCTCCTAAGCCGGCTGCTGAGAAAATCAGCTTCAGCCCTGTCAGGTTGTCTCTGGCAGCCGTTCCTAATAATTATTTATGCTTTGGAATTTCTTTCAGCTCCTGGAACTTTCTATCCAGTTTGATTTTCTCAGTGTGTACAACATATGCATATTCTCTTCTCTTTTGTCATTCCTCCCCCTCCCCCCATTTCGTTTTTTAATGTTCCATAGTTTTGTACAAGATGAGACTTAGCCTTGGGTACTTCTTGCTGAAGCTTTAATGCTTTGTAAATAAAAGCGGATGTTTATTAAAGAACAGGTGTAGATGTTTGTTTGTAGACACTGATCGCTTCCGAAACTCACCAGCCACTTTGATTTGTGTGACCGAAAATGCAGTTTACTGTTGCTGATGTTCAATCTTTCTGTGTGGAGATGCAGACCTGGGAGGGGTAGGGCGGTGGTCGCGGAGTCTGGAGTTCGGCCTCTAGACGAGATTATAAACAAACAGTTGAAGAAGAGGGTTGGTATTAAATCGCAAAGATTGTCTAGGAATGATCTCTCCAAATTTTTTAACTCTGTAAGTGTGTGTGAGTGCTTGATAGAGGCCGCAGTGCCGGGAGATATTCTGGATGTTACAGAAATGCATGCGAGGGCATTCCCTCCTTCCAGGCATCTTTCTTAAAGCATAAATACCATTGAATTCCTCTTTACTAGACGTAAAAAATCTAGACTAAATAAAACTCATTGAAATAGGTTTCAAACCCATAAAGTCAGTTTAAGTCTTTGATTTGAATCATTGTCAAGTTGTCAAATTTTAGCAGTGTCTGCCGCTAATTTTTTCTGTCCTGTGACTAAGAACCCGTCTTTGACATCATAGCTGTTTCATAGCAACCTTGACCTGAGTGAATGATGAGCTCCTCTGGTCTGTAAAGGGAGTAGGCCAAGAAGCAGGCAGGATTAGGTGTCTTCTTCCCTAGAAGACACCTTCAGTGCCCTTGGGAAGGAAGCATGGTAGAATGGGAGAGAGGAGCCATACTGGGCATATTCCGCCCTCCCCTCCCCCTGCCCTTGCTGATAAACATTTGGATTCTCAAAGGGTGGCTTGGTCCTTGTCTTCATGAATTCTCATTTCTTTCTTTTCTTTTTTATTTTTTTTTAATGTTGGTTTTTTTTTTTTTTTTTTTTTTTTTTTTTTTTGAGAGAGAGAGAGACCGAGCACAAGCAGGGGAGGGGCAGAGAGAGAAGGAGACACAGAATCTGAAGCAGGCTCCAGGCTCTGAGCTGTCAGCACAGAGCCCGACACGAGGCTTGAACTCATGAACTGTGAGATCATGACCTGAGCTAAAATTGGAAGCTTAACTGACTGAGCCCCCCGGGCGTCCCCATGAATTCTCATTTCCATTTAAAATTTCTTACACGTGAACAGTGTTTCGCACTTTACAAAGTGTTTCCGTGTACAGTTTATCATTTGATGCCCAAGGTGACCTTCCTGAAGTCGGCAAGGAGGTCTTAATTTACAAAGGAGCAAATAGAAATCGAAATTGAGGAAGGATCAGTCAGCTGCATCCCAGTCCAGAGTTCTTAATCCTTTTTTTACAGAAGGTTTAGGAGACTTTAAAATCAATAATAACTTAATGCAACATAATTTTTTTTTTTTTTGACTTGGTATTTGATCTCTTACTTGGTCAGATTTAACTGAGGTTTTGAAGCTCGTTAATTTGGATCCCACACCTTGGAGAGGAGGAGCAGGGGTAAGGAAGAATGTAGCTTCACTACGCATTTGATGTCATTTGGAAATTCGCTTCAGCTCCTGAAGTCTCTTCCCGAGAGGGTGGATTGAAATTCATTACAAGGGCCTGAGAAGAATGGAGACTCGTGAAATAGTCACTAACAAGAGCAAGTAAAGTAGCGAAGTTGGGACTTTTTTTCCTGCCTCGTGGCCTCGCCCCTTCGCAAGGACTGGACTTGAGTTTATTGAGTTGCAGTGTTTCGCCGACAGTGGGTGCTGCGCCCTGTCTTGTGACGTTGAACGTTATCTCGTGTCAAAGGAAGTAAGCTGTGATATCATAGAGGATTCACTTGGAACTCTGCGGGGTGCTGGCTGACGGTGATGAGATGCCCACCGAGACATGAAGATTTCAGCTGCCGGTCTCATCCTTGGGAGCCTGGTGTTCGCCTTCTCTCTGCCTTTGGTGGTGGCTTTGCCAAAAACACTGGCCATCCCTAAGAAGCTGCAAGAAGCCGTGGGGAAGGTCGTTGTCAATGCCACAACCTGTACTGTCACCTGTGGCCTTGGCTACAAAGAAGAGACAGTCTGCGAGGTGGGCCCTGATGGTGTGAGAAGAGAGTGTAAATCTCAGCGCTTGGAATGTCTGACCAACTGGATCTGTGGAATGCTCCATTTCACCATTCCCAAAGGGAAGGGATTTGAGCTCAGCTGTCTGAGTTCAGACATCCTGGAGATTGGGCAGGAAGCATTCCGGTTCACCTGGAGACTCGCCCGGGGTATCATCTCTACTGATGATGAGATCTTCAAACCCTTCCGAGCCAGTACCTACTTTGTGAGGTTTCCCTCTGTTCAGGAGTACGACTCTGGGACATACCGGTGTGATGTGCAGCTGTTAAAAAACTTGAGACCTGTCAAGAGACTCTATTTTGGGCTGCGGGTCCTTCCCCCTGACTTGGTGAACCTGAATTTCCATCAATCCCTTACCGAGAATCAGAAGTTAGTTGATAAGGGCCTGGAAGTGAATCTAGACAACCAGTCCGAGCCTCACCGCCCACGGTGGAAGAAGAAGGTGGCTGTAGCCTTGGGAATAGGAGTTGTCGGTGGAGTGGCTGGTGGTGTATTGATGGCCATTGCTCTGGGCTTTGGGCTGAGGGTGGTCTATAGAAGTGCTGGCCTTGAGTCCTTAAAAGCCCTGAAGGACTGGCTGCCCAGGACCCTGGACTGGCTGTTTAGGAAGCCAAGCTAGCTCTTCAAAGGATTGTCTGGCTGAGTGATTGTGGCTCAGCCAGGAGGGAGGGCTTCCACTGCCAAAAGTGAGTGGGGCCCGGGGACAGGGGCAACACCATGGTAGGGTGATGGGCAATGCTCTGCCTCTCCGTGTCCCAGGTGGATCTCTTCCTGATCTTTCCTGCCCACGTGGCACCTGGGAAGCCCGAGTGTAGGCCCCTCCCCTGTCCCCGGGAAGAAGATTCTGTCTTCAAGCTCACAGTCATTATCTTTCACAATTTGAGGCCTCTCTACCTCCATCCCTTCCTCTGAGTGGTATAATCACATAAAGGATATATTAATAGCTTTTCTAGTGGAAACCTTTTTTTCCTCTTCAATAAAAATAATTCACAGTGGCTGTGTATAGACCTGACCTTCTCTGCTCTTTAGTAAAAATCTCCTGCATATGTGTAAGTTGTCCCATAATCAACCTAGCTCTCCTCTTTCTTAGATTTCTTAGACATTGAGCACATCGCTTTGGAGGACGGCATATGCCCATGTGTGGCCAAGCCAAGGCGATTAGTAATGGCATCTGACCCGGGTATGTAACAGCCACTCAATACATTGCTCCTTCTCTACGCCCCCGGTGAACCCTCTGTGTTCAGTGTTAAAGACTCCTGGTAAAACGCTGGACCCTTCACCTGGTAGGTTTCCCCTGAACAAGTTCCTTGGCTTGCCTCCTGCTCCTGTTCTTCTAGCTCTTGCAGTGCCCTGACGTGTGTGTTCCTGGAAAGGTCAAGTGTATTGGTTTCTTCCAGCAGCCAAGGCTGTCCAAGGAGGGACTAAGAGCTTCCTACCTCCGTAGGAAATAAATCCTAAGACCCTCAGAGACCATTGAGGCAGTGTGAGGTAATTAGCTGATGGAATTGTCGGGGAAGAGGCTCAGCCACCCCCTGAGCTCATTCTGAGAGAATTAGAGCATTTCTTCTCCTCACTTTTCTCTAGCTGCAGACATGGTAGCAGATACGAAGACTTGGACTAGTGGTTCTCTTCTCTAGCTATGTGTCTGAATCACCTGGATAAACTTTTGAAACATAAGATTCCTGAGCCCCAACCCTGAGGATGCTAACTCAGTTAAAATTATGGCTAATGGCTCATTATTATTCTATTAAAAACAATTTCAGGGGCACCTGGCTGGCTCCGTCGGTAGAGCGTGTGACTCTTGGTCTCAGGGTCATGAGTTTGAGTCCCATGGTTTGGCTTAACTAAAAGAAAAAAAAAAACGTTAAAAAATAATTTCCACGCCATAGAAAAGTGGAAAGAAAAGTTTGATGACAACCCATAGATCCTCTGCTTAGATCCACCAACTGTGAATGTTTTGCTACATCTATCTTTCTGAATAGATGCTGATTTTACTGAACACTTGGAAGTTAGGCACAGACATTGTGACCCTTTACTCCTAGATCGTGTATGCATCTGCTAATAAAGATTCTTCTGTACAACTGCAACATCTTCACACCTAAGAAAGTGAACAATTCCCTAATCTTGCGTATGGTTGTTAATTCTCTGTCTTGCCCAACTTCTAAAATCTGATAGCCTTTTAACGTTTGATCCAGGATCGAATGAAGGTCCACATATTACCTTTGGTTGTTTCTCTTAAGTCTAGTTTTACAACAGACCTCCTGGGTTTTTTGTTGCTGTTTTGCATGACGTTGATCTCATTGAAAAGTCTAGCTGGGCCGATTGTCCTGGATAGTGCCCCATAGTCTGGGTTTGTCGTCATTGTCACATGACCGGATTGCGGAGGAATGGATCTTCAACATTTTTTGATGACAGCTCCACACAAATGATGGCCACTGCTCACCACAGGTGCACGGTGTCGGGTGATTCGTTACCGATACGATACACGCGACGATTTGGTTAAGGTGGTGACTGCCCGGTCTCTCCAAAGGTGTATTTTTTTTTTTTTTTCCTCTTGTAATCACTTATTTGTGGGACAATACTTTGTGATGATCTGGTTTCCTAAAAGCCATTAACGCCTTGGAATCCATTCACGATCCTTGCTTATTACCTGCTGGGAACTGCAGCGTCTTTAATGTGCCCTTGCTGTACTTATTAGGCTGCATTTTTCTGTAAAGGAGAGCTACTCTTTATTTTTGAGCTCTCTGTGGATTCTCTTTTTTAGTGCATTATATATAATCCATTAATGCCTCATTTCTGGTGTTTAAATCGTCCCCAATTTTGGCCAGTGGGAGTCTCTTCACTTGTCCTTTTATTGTGGTCCCATTTGACTTGGAGCATGTCCTTGCTTTCTAGAACCACAAAATGCCTCAGATCCACATTTGGACTTTGCTTTCTCCGAGGGGTTCTGGTTTCCTTTTGGTGTGGGCAACAGTATTTAGAAGCCAAGGTCTGGTCTGGGTGCTAAATGCATTCACCGCCACTTGGGGGGTCATTGCTCTTAGGTTCTTTCATTGCCCCAGATACACATAAATCTTAGGAGTTCAGAGCATCTCTGCTTTTCAGAAGCTTTATAGGTAATTCTGGTGGAGAGCGAACATTGAAGACCACTGGCGTAGGCCCACGCAAAGTCTACAATTTACTGTAGACTTATTTTGAAAAGATCTTAAATTTTCCACACCCCCTTTCCCCCATTCTCTCTACCTCAGAGGGAACGGGCTTCGGAAGACCTGGGTTGTGCTTCTGTTTCTGCCGTTGACTGTAGCTGAGCGGGTGGACTGACCCATCTGTGGGGGGGGGGGGGGGGGGGGGGGGGGGGGGCAGGTGAGCACGGTCCTGCCAGTAAAACGGCTGGAAGCCGTGAAGGGCTGGACATGAGTTAGAGAAGGTTTCTAATGAAGCACCTTCGTTTGGCTCTGGACAGTGTGTTCAAGCCCTCGGGAGAGCGCTTGCTATCCTTGGAAAGACCATAAAACAGGATCTTTAATGAACTCCGTGTGATGTTGCTGAGGGGGGAGGAGGGCTCAAGGGGCACGTTGCCCATTTTACAGATGGAGAGCCAGACCCAAGAAGAGTCAAGTGACCCGTCCGGCCCCTGTTGCAAGCCACTAGTCGAGCATGGGATGGAATATTGTGCAGCTCTAGGCTCATGGCCTTCTGTGCTTTGGGCTCTTGAATGTTGACTCAGAGGATGGGAAGGGATTGAACAGGGAAGAGGAAAGGAAAAAACAAACCCCAAACCCCTCCAAGGTGTTATTAAAGACCGGAACTCAGTTCAGTTTATTGAATCCGTGCATGTAGTCCGCCTCTGGAGGGATGGTCAGGGCCATGCCGACTGACCGAAATTTAGGTTCCAGGCTGGCCGGTGCTCCCAGCAGCCCCTCTGGATGCAGAGTGGAAGAAGGGATTAGCCTATCGCACAGCTGTCCGCGCCGGCCCCTCCTGGGGGCTCAGGGGGCCCTGGGCGCATCGCTAAGCGCAGAGGAGCAGGGCCTCCGCTTGCCCCCGTCTCCCTCTTCTCCGGGGAAGGCGGTGGGGCGCAGTCAGCACGGAGCCCTTCTGCTTTGTATGGAAAGACTCGAACGCGGCGCTGTGCCAGTGGGTCTCTGTGCGCGTCTCAGAGCTAATGGAAGCTCGGCAAGTGTTTGTTGAACGCAGGGGAGAATATTGCAGCTGCAAAACGTTGAGTAGGAATTCAGATTTTCTTGGCTGCTGAGAGCAGAGACTGGTGGCAACCTTGCTGGTTGGCGGCCACTATAACCCTGCAGGGAGAAGATTTCCCTTTGGTACCATTGAGTCTGGAACTGTCAAATGTCTTAGAAATCAGGGAAGCCCGAAGCGATACCATCATGAGCAGTGTTCGCTGCCCCGTGTTAGGTAAAGCCAGCACGGCTGGCAAGATGCCTGCTTGCACTCTGCTTAGGCCTGTCTTTTTTTTTTAATGTTTATTTATTTTTGAGATAGAGAGAGACAGAGTGCAAGTGGGGGAGGGGCAGAGAGAGAGGGAGACACAGAATCTGAAACAGGCTCCAGGCTCTGAGCTGTCAGCACAGAGCCCGACGCGGGACTCGAACCCACGAACCGTGAGATCATGACCTGAGCCGAAATCGGGCGCTCAACCGACTGAGCCACCCAGGCGCCCCTGCTTAGGCCTGTCCTAAAGCCCCTTGGCTCAGTTCTTCCCCCTCCCAGGCCTGCGTGACGCAGGAGGGGCTGTGTCTTGTTCCTTCCTTCGAGCTAACTGTGTAAGGGGGAAGGCATCGGCCACAAGACTGGAGTTCGAGAGCAGGACAGGAGGCGTGCTTCGGCCCGACAATAAAAACACCCACGGCAGGTGCCAGCTGCCTCAGCAGGTTGAGAAATCATCTTTATTTAAGAACTGCCTGCTACCAGAGTCAATAAATAACTACCATTACAAGAAGTACAAGAGAGACAAACGATAGGCCAGTGGAAGTGGTTCCATTTCAACAAAATCAGGGTCAAGTCGGGGGTCCGAAGAAGCCCCAGCCCTCGCCCGGCTGTGACACTAAGCTAAGCAGGCCCTGGATGGGGCTGGGTAAGTTGGAGTCTAGGGACCAAGGCAGGGTGCACCCCAGCTAAGGACACTCGGCTTCCTGGGCCTCGGGGCAAAGTTATCTGACCTATTTTTTTCCTCCCCAGCTTCCCTTTATTATCCTGCCTTCCTAAAGTCTATGACCCTATATACAGCTACCGGGCACCTCTCTCTATGGAGCTTTTAGAAGTCCCTTAAAAATGCCCACCTCGTCCCTCACACCACCCCAGGAGCCTCTCTGGCAACCTCATTCATCCCAGCATGAAGCCCAGGGTCGGTCTGACCCGGGGAAATGGAGCACCACACTTGAGCCTCAAAACCAGGTTTGAGGAGAAGTCTAGCCCTCCCACCAACCCGGAGATGCCCAGCCGGCCGTCCCACATCTGAGCCAGGAAGAGAAAAGGGAGTCCTCTGGGCAGGGAGGAGATCAAGGGAGTAAAGCATCCTCAGCCAGCTTGGGTTCTTGCCCCGAGGGGACTAGATGGCCCCGGTGCTGTCTTCCACTCTTCCGCGAAAGAGTGCCTGAGGTGAGCCTTCCCCCCTCACGGGGGGTGACACGGCTGTCACTACCCCTGCGGGAAGAGGCTGCAGCAAAAAGGGGCTGCAGGACTCCTCCGGTGCTGATCTAAACCTCAGCCCTGGAAGGACATCCAGCAGCATGTCCTCACACCCCCAGACTCCACCTCACCTAGACCCCAGGCCAACAGCTGTCAGAATTCTTCCAAGGTCCGTAGAAAAGGAAGAAGCCTCTTGACCACTCACCTTCGGGCCTCATTGCAGAAGCTCTTCCCGGTGTCTAATCTCAGATTTCCTGTTATTTTATCAAAAGGGAAAAAAAAACCCCTCCTCATGGCCTTTCTGTTCCGTGGCCCGTCTGTACCATTTGATGGCCTGGCTGGGCCGCGAGACCCATCTGGAGACAGCTCCTGTCCCCCGAGGGTGAGGTATACGTCGAGACTATTGGAGCAACGGGGACCGAGTAGCCAAGACCAGGGGCAAAGGGACCTGTAGGCTGAGCCGAAATATACGCAGGACAGAGAGACACTGTCCCCCTTGGCCCCGAAGCAGTGTCTGCAGACGGGCTCTGTCCCTAGTCCTCAAGGCACTTACTGGCCACTCAGCTGTGGGGTAAAGTACTTGTTTGTGGCCGGCTGTCTCCCTTGTTGCGCCGAGGCCTGGCATGTGAGAGGGGAGAGATCCCAAATCGAGTACTGAGCACAGCAGGAGTGAGACGCAGCAGCCCATCGGAGCAGAGAAGATGCAAATGAGAGGCCCCTCGGGCAGGAAGGGGCTCTCTTGCCTGCACTCCCATATGATAAGCCACCTCAACAGGAGGCTAGTCTATTTGATAAGCTTGCACGTCCTCAGGTCCCCTACTGTCTTACTAAACCTTACTCCGTACTCTGCCTGAGGTCTCGGGTGCAGGAGTCTGCATCTTAGTATACAGCTCTGCTTCTTCCCGACAAGTCTGATTAGGTTTTCCTGGGCTGGGTTTCCTAGGTTTTCCAGAGGGTCTCCTTTCCTCCCCTTTGCTAACGGGCCTCATTAGAACTAAGACTCTTGGTCATGAGTGCCTTTGGACCCCAGCAAGTTTAGGGACTGCAGTCTCCGGCTGTACCCGTGAGGTCCTGGGCCAGACCAGCTCATCCCTCTGGCCCCAGCATCTAGACACCTGTCCTCCTGTTTCCCCTGCCGCAGCCCAAGGCAGTGAGGAAAGACTCAGCTAAACCTTGGAGGAAGGTTTCTTACCCTCGGCGTCCCCCTTCTGATAGAGCTGAGGACAGGCCCGCTCACAGCCACAGGGGACCAGGAAGGGTGCTAGACCGCGTGGGGGCCTCCGTGTTCAGAATGTGGTCATTTAGCGGAGCCCGCAGCACCTTGCACGGGGGTGGGGGAGGTGGATAGGGGCGGGTGAGGAGGGTTTGGTCAACGGCTCCAGGGAGGCAGTCCTGGGCCGGAGGTGGGGTGGCGGGTGTAGCAGTAACCCGGAGAAGTGGTGTCGAGCTGACGTTTTAAAAAAATTGTAGCGGGTAAACATCAACATAAGCCTGCCCAGGAAAAGAGAGCAGGACTTAAAAGTTAAAAACCCATAACAAAATAGAGCTCTAACTGTAAACTACAGAAGCCTGGCTCTGGGGTCCTCGGCGGGCCTATCCCCGACAAGATGCCTGTCCCACTGCTCTATTGTGTGAAGGGCCACCTCTCACAGCACGGGCTCTGGGGCTTCCTGGCTGTGCCACCACTGCTGCCTGGATTCGTGAGATTCCCGTCCTTGCTCTGATGCCTTTTCTTGGAGCAAGGGGAAGGGCGGCAGAGGGCTGAGGGCCCAGCAGAAGCCAGACTCGGGAAGCGAAGTATCGCTATCTCCTGGCGTCGGCCCGCGCCTTGGCCTGGGACCCAGCCGTGCCGATCACCCCACCTGAACCTCTTGAAGCAGGATTTTCATAGCCCACTGCCCTTCTTACCACCTTCTTAACCAGGCAGTAGCCATTCAGCACGGCCCCCTTCGTCGGGACGGACAGCCTGGGTAGGAAGGTCAGACAGGCTGTGTGACCTCGGGAAGTCCCTAACCCCTCCGTTTCCTCATCTGTAAAGTGAGGGGCTTGGGCGAGTTGGGCTCAGAAGCCTCCTCCAGCTCTGATGTCCTGTGACTGGTAATGTACCCAGAGCCCATGCTAGGATGCCCCTAAATTTATTAGCGCCTTTTTCTTCAGAGGAAATGCAAAAGAGCAGTTGGAGGCAGCCTGGGGGACAGGTCCTGCCAGGTGGTCCAGGGTATTCTGGGAGCAACCAGGGCCACATGTATCCTTTGCCCTTCTCAGAAGACTCTCGGCTCCAGAATACCCAGAACCGATGCGGCCTTACCGTCCCAGGCTTGAGCGAGTCAGTGCTGGAGAGTGGCGGCGGCCTGGGGCCTGCGGACTGAGCTGGAGGAAGTGGATGGGCACACAAGTCTTGTCTTCTGTCTCCTGTCCACACCCTCGAGGGGCCGTGCAGGATGGGTCTTGGTGGGGTGGGGGACCTCCCCGAGATAAGCCCTTTAGTCACTCAGCCACCCGTCGTGGCTTCTGTCACTCCGGGGGTGATAGGGTCAGGTTGGCAGTGTTGGCTAAGAGGGCAACGTCACCTGCATTGGGACTGTGCCTTCGGGCCAAGCCTGGTGCCCCTTTCTACCAGGTGTCTCCGCTCCTCAAACCCTTTTGGCTCTTACCCCCGACACTCTGGAATATCATCCCCTAAAGTTCAGGCTCCTGGCCTCGGACTTTGGGGCACTGGTTTTCTGCCACCTGCATAGGTAGCAGGGGCCCCTAGGGAGTCATCAAGGACAATGTCAGGGTCTAGCCGTGCTGCCCCTCGCGGAAGTAGGGGAGTTTTTGGCCCGGGTTTGGTCCTATCCTTAGGCCGAAGAACGTTGATGTCTGTGTTTCGTCCTACTGCAGGGCATTTGCGTCCAGTGTTCCCACCGGGCCCCACACCCCGCTGTCAGGGGACAGAGCCCATCTGTGGTACCGGAGCGCCCTCTCCCCCGATGTGCAGACACACATTTCAAACCCCCTTCTTCCCCTGGGCCTGTTGCTTCCATCCAGGTGCCCCAGAGGACCCAGGCATAGGGTTCGGCATCATCATGGAAGTTGCTGCCTGGTGTCTTTTGACTTAAAGACAAAAAAAAAAAAAAAAAAAAAAAAAAAAAAAAAAAAAAAAAATCCTCGCGCGGGTTCTATCCTGTGGCAGAATATGAAATATCCTACCTCCTATGAAAAGGGCACTGTTTGAAATAGGTATTGAAAACCAGCCGTTCTCAGGCACAGTGTTGAGCCACCTTGGCATCAGGAAGGGACCAGGGCCAGCTGGCTGCGTCCATCAGAGGTGGGTGTCCGGCTGTGGCAGAGAGGGAGGGGCGCCACGATCAGAGCTCCAGGTAGCCTATGAGGACCAGCATTGCCACGGACAGGGAGAGGATGGCACCGGGACGCGGGGCCGGGCGGATTGCGGAGTTCTCCACCATCATGCTTGTGCCTGAAACCCGCAGGTGGAAGAGTGGGGCTGTGTCCAGTGGGCTCGGGGCCGGCCTGCCCCCACCCCACCCTCAGGACAGGATCCAGACCTTTGCTAAGGAGACTCAGGGTGGGCCACTTCAGGGCCCGGAGGTGTCCTCAGGCCTATTCCTACAGCATGTTGTAAGACCTTTGCTTCTGCGGTCTTCAGACTGGCCCTGCACCCCATGAAAGGAACACCCTCCTCTGTGACCTTCAGGGATGTTGGGGCTGGGGGCCCGGCAAGGACGGTTCTAGCACCCGTTACACTTGGTTCCTGCCTACCTTCCCCTTTCCCCCGGGGTTCTGGCTGGGGTTGGTCTGGGTGGGAATGAGTCCTTCATCAGGCATCTAGACGGCCCCTGTTACTCCTGGGGGATAAGGTTTGGGGGAGAGACAGCACCTCCATTCCTCACGATGTGGACTTCGGCCGGGATCCCGTCCCCTCCAGGTCCCGTGGTCCGAATCTGTACTAGGGCATGGCCGATGTCTTCAGGAACTGCGATTTCTATCCAGTTCTTGCTGGTGAGGTGAAGCGTGGGAGTTGGGTGTAAGTCATTCTGGTAGAGCATCTGTGGGGAGGAGGTTAGCCAGGGGGACTTTACTTACACCCGCTGTTTCTTCTGTCTACCCCAGCTCTGGGCACTGGGAGGAGCCCAGCTGGTCCTGGTCCTCGCCTTTCCTGTTTCCCATTGACCAGGGCCTGGCTCTTGAACAAACTCCTCACTGATGGAAGGAAAGCTTGCAAGCCGCTGAGCCGTCTTTGCAGACTCCCCAGGCTGGAAGGGCCCTCGGACTTCACCTGGTGCGTCAGCACTCCCTTGAACCCTGCCTTCCCGCAGTCACGCCTTCTGCCCCCTCTCTTACGTCTCTGCTAAGGCTCTGCGTGTATTTTGGGGCTCTGACCATCACAGACTCTGCTTATGTCGGACTCAGAGCCCTCTTGCTATTGTGTCCACTGGAATACAGATGCACCATTCCCTACCGTTCACTGCCTGGCTGATCCCTTCCTTACCTTATAGCCAGTGACCGCAGACTCATTTCGGAGAGGAACCACAGGGTCCCACTTGATACTAAGACTCGAGCTTGAGAAAGTCCAGGAGATGTTGCCAGGAGGCCGCTGTGGAGCTGCCGGAGGAGGCAGAAAGTTGGGAAAGGTTCCAAATGATTCTTCACCAGCCATCCCTTTGCCTTAGCCAGCCTTTTTCTAAGTGTCCAGCCCCAACAGGACTTACACCCAGAACCTTCTATCACAGCTGCCTAAGAAACAAACCACATGAAAATCCAAAGGCTGGAGAAGGGAGAGGTGCTTCAGAGGTCAATGAATTCTACTCTCTCTTTCCGTTTGTCTTGCTGCCTTGTTTCTGTCCAGCCCGGGGTTTGTGGGCTAGAGCATTTGTCTCTTTCGCCGGGGAAAGAGTGGTCCTAGGGCCACCCCCACCCCAGCAGACAGACTCACGGGGCTTCATGGTGGTGGCGTTGGCAGAAGGGCTGGCGGGCCCGGTGCCTGCCCTGTTGTAGGCCCGCACGGTCACATGGTACTTGGTGTTGGGGTGCAGGCCGGTGACTCGGGCACTGGTGTCCAGCCCTGCTGTCCTCACTCGGTCAGCGGCTGCTTCCTTGTCCCCGGCTTTCCAGTAGCGGATCTGAAGGGGGCAGGGGTACCTTAGGGTCAGCAGTCGAGCCCAAAACCTCAGGGTTATCGTGACCCTAGCCCCGGCCACCTACGTTCTGTTCCTCTCCTGCTGACTCTGATCCCTGTGGCTCAGTCTAGGGTCTCAGAACCTGGGCTCTGATCATGAGCTCCAAGGTAGCAGGGACAAGTGTGAGTCGCGGCTGCCTCCTTGGTGCCCAGCAAGAGCCCCGTCCAAGGGAAGCGCCCAACACGTGGGAGGAATGAGGCGGTGAGTGGGCCGGGTGATGCGTGGGGATGGGCACGGACTCCACCTAGTGATGGCCCGTGGGAGCCCAACCCCACTTAATTATCTCAGGGAATCTCAGGGGTGGTGGGGGGTACTGTGCTAAAGAGTATGACGTGCAGGGGCGCCTGGGTGGCTCAGTCGGTTAAGCGTCCGACTTCAGCTCAGGTCATGATCTCAAGGTTTGTGAGTTCGAGCCCTGCATCAGGCTCTGTGCTGCAGCAGCACCGGGGTCCCTGTCTGACCCTTCTCCCTTACGCAGTGACATTTCTTGCCCGTCCTTCTTCCCTTCCTGTTGCTCCCTCTTGTTCTCTGTCCACCCCACAAGGTGCCCCAGTGTGGAGTCACTGGGGGCTCAGAGCTCATTCCAGAAACTGCTGGGCCCACAGTTCCCAGGGACGGGGTGACCAGCGGGCACAGAGAGGGGGCCGTGCTATTCTCTGCAGGCTGAGAATGCGAGGCTAGCCGGGCTTTGGCATGAAAGGGGCAGGCCGTGTCCCTTCCAGAACCTTCCATCTCCTCCCCTGGGCTCGCACAGCTTCCAGTGCTGGCTCTAGGCAAGCACTTAACTTCAAGGCCATCCACGGGCCAGTCTTTCGCGCTGGACATCAGCCAGAGGGGCTCGGTTGGCTAAGGCTGCGCGGCCAGGGTGGCATAGACTGTGTCAGTGAATGAGTGACCCCAGGAGGAATGACCAGTGAGCTGTGAGGGGCCCCCGGCCACCCCTCCCTCCCCAGGCCCCAGGTCAGTGCTCACCTCGTACCCCAGGAGGATGCCATTCGTGTCTTGCTGCACGGGTTCCCAGGTCACGTTCATCTCTGAGGATGAGACCCCCTTGGCCCAGACCTTAGTAGGGGCCACCCTGGGCTCTGGGGATCGATACAGAATGGGTTTGGATCCCCCAGGCCTCCCTGTTTCCTACAGAGAATCTGCCAACCAGGACTGCCCTTGCTTAGGGATTTCGAGAGCCCGGGCCCAGGATGAAGCCACGTGGGGGTTCTCACAGCGACCTCCAGGCCCACTTCTCTTTGCAGAGCCTCCCTCCTCCTTCTCCCAGGCCTGAGGGGGACACGAGGGAGCGAGGGATGAGGCCAGGTGCCCCTTCTCCCCCCTGGTGTGGAATCGAGGTGGGGTGTGGGCAGCACGCTCCCTCCCCCCGACACCACGGCCCGGCAGCTGTGGATGGGGCGGCCCACCTTCCTCAGCAGAGTGCACCAGCGTGGTGAGGCTCTCGGGCCCATCCCCGCGGCGGTTGTAGCTGCGGATCTTGACCTCGAAGGGCGTGTAGGGCTGGACGCTGTCATTGCTGTAGACGAAGTGCCGGGCGTCGGCGCCAGGCACCCGGGCGGTCTGCCAGCTGGTGCTGCCCTGCCTGCGGAAGGACAGCAGGTAGCCGAAGCCGTCTCCGTTCTGGTACTCCCGCGACATGGGCTGGGGGGCGAGAGCGTGTGGCATGGGCGAGGGGCCGCGGCGGGTGCGTTTCCCTGCCCATCCTCCGGCCCCACCCAGCCTTCGCCAAGAGGGGCGGCCCCGGGACTCGTGTGCCTTGGCGGTTTTCATCCTGCGGTGGGTGCGAGGGGAAGGGACAGGACGTGGCCTGCTCTGAGTTGGGATTGCACGCTGGCGCTGTCTGGGTCCTCTCTACACGCTGCTCCAATCTGGACATGAGTCAGGATGGGTGGGGGGCAGGACTGTCTCTGTCCTCTGTCCCTGCAGCTTACCGTCCAGTTGACGATGAGCTCTCCGGGGGCTCCACCCCCTCCGCTGAGTCCTGAGGGTGCCACTGAGGGGGCTGTCGGGGCCAAGGGACACAGATGTGGCTTGTTAATGGGCAGTGAGGGGGCAGAGGCCCAGAGCCTGTGCCTGTGAAGCAGACTAGGACGGGGACATCCCTATCCCTTCAGATTGGCTCTAATTTTGTCTTCCAACAGGCCCTCTGGATGTGGGCTCTGGAGTCAAGGCAGACCCGACATCAAATCCCACCTCTGCCACTTACTAGCTGTGTTTCCCTGGGCAATTCACTTAACCTCTCTGAGCCTCTGAATCCCCGCTCCATAAGATGAGGATAATAGTGTTTCTCTCAAAGGTCTGTAAGAAGAATACAATCAGACAGGACAATGGCGAGCTTGTTTGTCTGTCCACGCTCCGTAATAGTAGATGCTCCATCAATGATCTGTCTTCTCTCCTGTCAGCTTCAACTAAATAACAGACAACCCCAGTTTGCTTTAAAATAAGGGGAACAAATAACCGAGAACTGCAGTTAATGCAAACAAATATTTCTTTGGGGTTGCAAAGTGTCTGATTAGGATTTTGCTTTTCATGGCCGGTTTAATTCCCTAATTGTCCCTAGAATTCAGCGTGGCTGATATTAAAATAAGACCCTTTAATTAGATCACGAATCTTGGCAGGGGGTAACTTGGCTGAGGGTCAAACATTTCTGCAGAGAATCCAGCAGTGGGAAACCTATCCCTGGATTCTGATGACTGCAGTTCCTGGCCTTGTAAGGGGTGCGTCAACACGCGGCCCCTGTGATCCTGTGAGGTGGGCATAGCACCCTTTTCAAGTGGAAAGACCAAGGCTCAGAGCAATTAAGTGACTTGCCTAAGGTCACACAGCGAATAAGTGGCACGGTTCAAATTTGAACTCAGCTCTTCTGATTTCAAAGCCCATCATCTTTCTTTTGCCTCCTCCTTGTCTTTTGATCACCAACTGGGATACCAGAATGGAGACCACGCCCTATCCTGCATTTGATTCTCTAAGAAGTTCGATCAAAGAAGGTGCTCCTTCTAGAATTCCTTACTCAAGAGAGGTACCAGTTCAAAATGTTGACTGACTGGACGAGAGTTGGCCTGGGGCACGTGGGAAACCATGTTTAAGGGACACAAAAAGACACCCTTACTACATATCCAGGGTGGGAGGCCTGGGTTGGGCGGGCAAGGTCCTGATTCCATGTTGCCAGTCTGAGGACCTCAGGTCTTCTGGATTTTCATCTGTGAATGTCTCAGAGGGTGGGGGATGTGTGCCTCTCCTGGGTTCTCTCCCTTGCCTTCCCCGCTCAGCTGGGTTCTGACACCCACCTGCCTTTCAGGGAGCTTGTGGGAAGATTGTCCATTCCACCTGCTCCCCAAGAAACTGTCTAAAGGACTTAGAGACACTGACTGCTTCCCTACACACACACACACACACACACACACACACACACACACCCCTTCCTCATTAACGGATTTCAGCGGCTCATGCACTACTAGGGAGGATATCTGCCCATCACCCCATGGTCCTCAGTTCAAGTTCGGGCTCTGCCAGTGTGACACTTTCCTTCTCCAGACTTTGATTTTTTCCATAAAAAAATACTTAAACCTTTTATTTTGAGATAACTGTAGATTCACATGCAGTTGTAAAGTTGGCCCAATTTTTTTACTTCTATTTTTTTTAAATGTTTATTTATTTATTTTGAGAGAGAGAGA